ACAGTCCAGTCATTTAATTATAAAATACTCGTGTTAAAATAATACATGGAACATCTGCAAACAGTTGAATTAATATGTACTCTATGTGGGTACAACTTATCATAAAGTGATTTCCCTTAATTTAGTATTGTACTGATATAACTGAAAACTTCCATTGATTGCAACATACGTGCAACCAAACTGTGTCTCATACTTGCTGAGCCTGAAACTGGGACTAATAAGTGGGATGTACCACGCCATGTTGTATGGTTTTATTTAAGATGGCTTAACAGCAAGATCCAAAGTTCAACTGACCTGTCTTCAGCATGATGTCATAACATATTTTGTTAGACTGTTCACCAGTTTCACCAAATCGCTGTTCTAATGTTAGATCCCGATAACGTCTCTCTTCCAAAGGAACATGAAACACCTACAAATAAAATTGACCAATTCAATTCCGTATTCAGGGCAAGCATCATTTATTTTCCTGTACTGAAGTAATTATTGAACAGTTCTTGAAGGTCTATAAAAACAGATGATCGATGCATGTTTATATACACTTCAAGTGCTCATCTTTTATTACGAGCTTGACACAAATGTTTAAGACCTTACCTGAGTTACATTGGATGATCTAAGCGCCATCTTAGGATAAGCAATATGGCCAACAATTTCTGCAGTTGTACGTGGTGAGGTTGTTGTCACGGTTGAAGTCGTCGTTTCTGATTTCTCTAATGATGCTGGCAATGGAGGGAAAGCCTCAGCATAAGTAGGCTGGTAGGCTTCCTCATCCACTGGTTTAGACGTAGACGGTGATGGTATCATTTCAACAGCCTCTGTGCTCCCAGTGTTATTACTAGTTGGATCCGAATTCATGGTCGGTTGCCGTTTTCAAGTCTGACAGTACCACTGAAATGGGAGAAATGAATGCTTAGCACATACCCATACTCAGAAACCCTTGCTTTCAGGAGTCCAAGTCACAAGTCATTGCCAACAACATTTTTTAGTGTCAATTATAAACAAGCCATGCATGGCACCAGTCACAGTTATCAAATTTAAGATGTATAGTAATATAGTTGGGAACATGTCAGAGATATGGATCCAGAAGCTGATGCTTGATTATGATGATTTTTTAACATTATAAAAATAATTGACATTCAGTCATCTTGTATCTGATTGTCAAACAAGTACTTGTCTGGAACAGCATTAATTAAAACAAAATGGCCACCGGTCGGCAATTTTGAGTATATGTATGACATGATGTATAATGAATATATAAAATTTTAACATAGTGAAAGCATGTCAGAGACATGGCTCTAGAACCACATTCATTAAAACAAAATGATTGCCATAGAAATCAGCACAGGCATGGAGAGGGGAGGCGAGAACTGAGTGAAATGTGTAATGTCCAAATGTTGAGTTTTGGGACCAGTCAGTCAAAGTTCAACAGAACAAAAAAATAATTGATACAAACTTTAAACAAGCAGCCTGTCGGCTGAGATAGCTCCGCTGTTAGCAATGCACATTTCAATTAAAGAACTGAAGATATCATTAGATCAAAGAAAGCTTAGAAAGAACTCCCGTGTGCTGAGAGTATTGGAGACACATTAAATATAATTCTAAATTACTTAGCTGAAAACTAATTATGCAAATCAGAAAATTAATATGACCAGATTTGAGTGTAAAACTAATGAGGTCTGCGCAATGTAACAGAAAATCTATGTTTCCTAGTTTAATTGAAATGTGATTAGAACCAAAAAATTATGAATTATTATGCTTATTAGGGAATTAATATGAACAGATTTTTACCCCAAACTAATTAGGTTTGTACATTGTCCTAGAGCATCTTTGTACTAAGTTTCATTGAAATGGAATAATTAGTACTTTAGATATCAGTGTGAAAGCTTAAAATTGGTTAATTATGCAAATTAGGTAATTAATATGTACAGATTTTAACCCACAATTATTCAGGTCTTTCTATTGTCCTACAGCATCCATGTACATTCATTGATATGTGATGTATAGTACCTGAGATATCAGTGTGAAAGTTGGTTAATTATGCAAATTAGGTGATTAATATGCACACATATTTACCGGAAACTAATTGGGTCTGCATAATTCTAGATTCATTGAAATGTGATGATTATTACTTTAGATATCAGTAGAAAAACTGAAAATTAATTATGCAAATTAGGTAATTAATATGCACAATTATTTACTCTAAAACTAATCAGGTCTCTGCATAGTCCTAAAGGATCTATGTACCAGGTTTCATTGAAATGCGATGATTAGTACTTGAGATACCCGTGGAAAAGCTGAA